GAGGGATGGCCCGGTCACATCACGGGCAGACACACTGGGACAGTCTATAATTATATTGAGGAAAGGGAAGAAGACGAACAAATCAAAATAAAGTGGTGAATGAATCTCAAAATGATTCTGTCAAGATTGTGATTTAATGAATATATAAATCACTTCTGCAAAAGGATCAAAAGCTGCCATGCACAAATACTGATAGATTTGTTTTATGTTAACATCGGACAGATGGATTTTCTGGAAAGACATTCAGGGTTTTCAAAATTGTCATTTTGGGGAGTTTCGAACTTTTGTCAAAAAAAAGTCTAAAATCCTTGCTATACTATCCCACAAAAAAATATTGTAATGTACGGTGAAAAAAAAAAAACTAGCTCCTTTTCCATTCACAAGTTCAATTTGAATTTAATTGGCCACACCCCCAAAGGAAGTTGAATTGGAATTCACTGAACTGCAATTCAAAGAAAATTCAACACATTCTGGAAAATGAAGTCCTCTTCTGGGTTATTATCATTAACTTAATTCAAACAAAACATTTTCATTACTTGAAATAAAATAAAAGCTTAACCAGAATAAAATCTTTTTTTTTTTTTTTTTTTTTTTTAAAGTGTCAAAAAAAAAAAAATTTTTTTTTTTTTTTTTTTTTTTTTAAAGTGTCAAAAAAAATAGAATTTTTATTTAGTTGAAAATATGATACTATCTATCTATTTATCCATCCATCTATAAAATGCTGTTGATTTTGAAAAATTAGAGGATTTTAATTTTATTACCTTACATTCAAATTCTATATTCTGCTTGATGCTGAATTAAATTTGAGACCACAGGTGACGTTCAAGTTCAAGCTCATTTCACAGTACGACTCTGGGTTTTTATTTTCTATTTGCAGACTCAATCCCTCCTCGTTCTGGAGATCCACAGTGCAAAACATACATACCACAAAACAAAAACAGCCAGAAGAGCTGTCAGCACATCAGTTGCAATGACTAGACAAGAGAAGTCTGTGTGATTTTACTTCTCTGATGAGTTTAAGCCAGATCAAACAAAGTATTTTTTCTAAATCTAAAGATTTTCCTTTCCATTGTGTTAGAAGGTTCTTTAACATTGTGACATATAACTTAGCTTGTAGTTACCTATGACTTTGGTGGCTGTCAGCTGCAGATCCTGCACGGGGCAGTCGAGGAAGGACAGGTCAGCTTTGGTGCCCGCAGGAACCACTATTTTCTCCTGCATCACAGAGTTCAAGCTCATTTCACAGTACGACTCTGGGTTTTTATTTTCTATTTGCAGACTCAATCCCTCCTCGTTCTGGAGATCCACAGTGCAAAGATCTGAACAGAATAGGAAGATGAACAGCATGTTATTTATCAGCAACTCAGAAGCATGAACTATTCAAGGTACCAAACTGACCCTAAAAAGATGCCAAACTCAAAAACAATGATTTCAGACACAAAACCAAAGTTATAGGCTCATTTTTTCCTTACATGGAGTCCCACTCCTGAACACCTCCACGTTGAAGTTCAAGGAAAGCCCAGGAACATTCGCCACTTTCTTTACATCACAGTTGGCCAGAGTCAGGCTGAAATCTCCCTGTTTATTAGCCGGTTGAGTTTCTGTTGGGGCCATTGTGAATGAAGTCTTGTCTCCCAGTGCATAATCACACATAACAGTTTTCTTTTTGCATTCTGGTGGAGCGTAATTTTGAAAGCGAACAGTAAAATTGTGCATAGGCTTAAGAGCAAAGTTCCACTTCATTTTTTGTTCATCGTAGTAGCCTGTGGCGTAGTTTGGAGTAAAGAAATCAACAGAAAACGGTCCTCTGGGCAGCTTGACATCCATCTCAACTACTCCTAGAGATGCAAAAAACAAGGGAAAAATTATTGCAATCAGAAGCTAAACACTAATGAAAATGTTCTTGTTTCAAATCACTAATTCTAACCTGTTGCTGCTGGTCCCATGGACGCTTTGAAGTCAGATGGGTTCAGGTCTGTACCTTTGGGAACCTCCAGAGTCACTCGACCTCTATACAAGACCTGGATACGGCTGATGGTACCGTTCCGACAGAACAAGCCGATGTTGGCCGGTCCTGCACGCTGGTATGCGGTGATGGTGTAGGTGTGTTTGTCTGGACAGGATTCTGAAGGCTTGAGCTGTCTCATTCCTGGAGATGGGAAGTCTAACTGGAACACCTTGCCGGACTGAACCTTCAGATCCCAGGTAAAGGTTCTGGTGAACTCCAGGAATCGGGTCGAATCCGGATGCACTGCATTGATGCTGCAGTCTGTTGTTGGGCAATCTGTGTAGAGATTTAAGTGATTTGTATCAAGTGGATAATTCAGAATCTGCATGTTGTGACTCACCCATTTCTTGGTTGATCTCCACATTAAAGATGTCCCCCGGCTGAGAGCAGTTGAAAGTTACGGTGGTGGGCTGAGCTTCAGTAAGTCTGAGGTTGGAGTTACAGGTTTGAGACAGACCTTCATCCTTACACACGCTACAGTCCAGACCATGTCCTGCCTTTTTGCTGAAGATTACGATGGTGCCAGAGTCAGGGGTCACCTCTATTTTATGACATTCTGCAAAAATAAATAAATATTTGTATATGTATTTTACAAAATTTGTGGAATGCAAAGTAATGTATTGAAAATGTATAATTTTATATTTATGTATTAAGAAACATAATGTTTTATTATAATAAATTCTGTATAAATTATTAAATTAATAATTAAATGTTATTAAATGTATTAAATATTAACAATTTAAATTAAAAAATCTAAAATCAATATATTTTATATAATATATATATATATATATATATATATATATATTTTTTTATTAATATATATTTGTTGCTATTACCTATATATATATATATATATATATATATATAATTTTTTATTAATAGATATTTGTTGCTATTACCTTAAAATTACTTTCCGTTTTTTTGTGTGTTTCGCTCTCTTTCTCTCCCTCTCAGTTTAGACTGACTTTTTGTTTATTGCTTTTATACTATTTTTGCTTTTTGTGAACAGGCCTTTATTTGGACTTATTCCATTAGAAAAATGATGCAATAAAATTCAAATCAAGCATTTAATTCATCTAGACTGTTCTTGGACACAGAGTTGCCCTACAAAACGATCAATACAGAGCCACGTAAACGAACAGCTTGAATAAAGCAGAGAGTTGTAACCCACATGAACGCAAACAGAAAAAAAGAAACACAAAGAACTGATTCACACAAGGTAAAAGTTTGAACAGGAAGAGTCCATGAACGAACATAGCCGTGCATTACACTACACATGTCAGGCATTCTGGGATCCTCCCTAATTAAGAAAAAAAATGTACCTTGAGAAATGCTGACGTTGCAGAAAGTTTGGTGCATGATAGAATGTCCAAATGCTTCATATAGTGCCTATTAGAAATTAGGCGTAGATGTTGGTTGGTAAAGTCTACTTTGTTCAAACGCTGGCCAAATGCATCGAGATCACGTACCACACTTGATCGAAAGATGTTTACAAATTTAGACATGATTTTGATTGCACAAATCTAACTTTCAACAAAACAGAAGAAACAACGCAGAAGAGAAACATCCACACGGTCTCACATTACCCCATGAGAATGACTACAACATCCGCAAATATTTATAAAACACACACCTCTCCAGCCTCTAGATATTCTAAACTAAATCCATCAATCAACATCTTATAAAGCAGACAAAGTTCTAATCCATAATAACGTTTCCTGCAGTGAAAAAGTCCATCTCCTGTTGTCTCTCACACCAAAATCCACCAATAACATAGAACTGTTTTGGACTGTTTTTGCTTGTGGACGGTGCTTGATCTGTTTCCCACTTAATTCTGACAAGATGATGTTTTCATAAAGCAATGTTATGGATAGAGAACTTGTATTTTGGCCAGATACAATGGTTTAAACCTAAAAATGTCTTCATGATGGATTTGTTTCTTACAAACACACAGCTTTTCACTTTACAAGACATTCATTGATGGACTTATCAGTTGTTTGGACTCTCATTCTGACGGCACCCATTCACTGCAGAGGATCTAATTGGTGAGCAAGTGATGCAATGCTACATTTCTCCAAATCTGTTCCGCTGAAGAAAAACTCATTTACATCTTAGATGGCCTGAGACGGAGTACATTTTCACATTTTCAGGTAAAGTATTCCTTTAACCATGTTATTTGTTTAACATAACTGTTAAAGATGTATGTGGAAGATATACAATGGAAATCCCAAATGTGAGTTTGTTTTGATGTACATTTTAAGGCATCCGTGGCATTGAAAAAAAGAAAAAATCTGTTACCCAAACTTTCAAATAACCCATTAAATTAGACACAGATCCTCCAGAATTTATAATTCTCACTTATATCTGCACAGCTCTGACCGTCAATACATCTGCAACACTTTGAAGGTCGCTTCCCACGCTTTTTGCTCCATAGACAAAACCAGCATTCACTAGCCAGCACTCAATCAGCAGAAACCTGTGGGAATGAGAAATTCATCTTCGGACAATGGATGTTGTGATGCAGGAGACAACATAATGAGTAAGTGTTATTACACACACACACACAGACATATATGTATATATACAGTGGGTACGGAAAGTATTCAGACCCCCTTAAATTTTTCACTCTTTGTTATATTGCAGCCATTTGCTAAAATCATTTAAGTTAAATTTTTTTTCCTCATTAATGTACACACAGCACACCATATTGACAGAAAAACACAGAATTGTTGACATTTTTGCAGATTACATATCCATCAATGGCTTTCACAGTGTCTCCTCTCTCACACATATGCTTTAACACATAAATACACCCTCACACACTGGAGAATTCACAGTATGTTCTCCACTTACAGTCGGAGACAGAGTCTGTCTGCAGGAACTGGACATTAGTGACACTTTACTGTCTGGGACACACATAAAATGGACACAAACTCTCTATTCTTTGGTAAGTTTCATGTCGTGAATGTAAATGTGGGGTGATGTGAAAATGTTTGCATGTGTATAATGTTTACCGTTCAGTTTATCAAGCTGAAGAATTGTTTATGATGGAATACAAGATGTTTGCATGTTAAGAATTTCCCATATAGATTTTCCCTATAAAGATTTTATAATTTAATGCATAGTTAAATAGTTAAATTTCAGTTTCTGAACATAGTACGGTTGTTGTTTCATTAATACTGTCCAAAACACCCTTTCTTTTGAAGGACGACATTGATAAAGCTCCAGAGGAGACGAGACGTAAGTTTATTGTGTTGTGTTTGTAATTTGATGAGTGATGTATGTCCGTGTTAGGATTTAAAGGGGTCATATGATGCTATTTTAAAGATCATAATTTTGTGTATTTGGTGTAACAGAATATGTTGACATGCTTTAATGTTCAAAAAACACATTATTTTTCAAATACTGTACATTATTGTAGGGCGTGTTAGAACGAGCCGTTTTAGGGGGGCGTGGCTGACTCGTAACTTTTCTAAAGAATATCTCTTTGGACTTGAGACTTTAGTCTTTGCAACTTTACAGACCTTCTTTATGCACCAAGAGCTTGTAACACTCCAAAGAGAAAGGAAAACTTGAAATCGCATCATATGACCCCTTTAATTATTTATTTTTACCCTGTGTGTTTTTGTTTTTGCAGAACTCTATAAAGAATACCGTTCTCTTAAAGAAGCAAAAGAAAGGAATGGCACTGGGCAGGGGGATCACACAAAACCCCCAAAGAGTCAGCCTTCTACAGCTGTAAGAGGACAAGTCTTAATTCATTAATTTGAACATTCATCAGCCGTCTTTGTAGTTTCTGAAGATTATACCTGTTTATGTATAGATTTATTAAATGTGCATGTGTTCACTGTTTTAAGGAATCTGGATGCTGGGGGTCTCACCTCAACCGGAAGAGTCTGCCGGCTGCTGTACCAAAACTGTCATCAGATGACAAAGAGACGCTGAAAGCTTCAGCTCAGTACTTTGGTATGAAGTTGAAAAACAATCTTGGAGCTTTAACCAAGGTGAATGTGACTTACACTGTATCCTGAGCCGGGTGATATCATAAAAAAAAAAGATCTCAAGTTCATTTCATGACAATATGTGATATGTTGTGATATTTAATTATTATTCATATTTAATTAACGTAAATAGAAGTAATAAATTATCAAGTTAATAAAAAAAAAGAATCAGTCTTCTGCAATAAAAAACAATAATAAAAATAAAAGTAAAAAAGTTTAATTTAAAAAGTAAAATACTATAGAATTACATTTTTAATAGGCCTAATTAAAAAGAATAAAGAAGACATGTATATAATATATTTTTTTCAATGTTTTAAGATTTAAAATTCTAAGAACAATTATGTTGATGTTTGTTACTGTGTATATTCAGAAACCTTTCTACTGATTATTTTGACTGATATCATTGTGGTATTTGGTGGAAATGGCTCTTTATTTTAGCTATAATGTTTTAAAAAGACATAATGAAAAATCTGTATATTATATTTGTAAAAATATTCAGAAACATGTCCACTGATTAATCTTTACTATGTTGTGCTTTTTGCATTACATAACTTAATCTGTGTGACATTAATGGCTGTTTTAACAAATAATGGTACTTTAATTGAAGCAATTCTTAATGAATCTAATTTTTGAGCCTCGTTCAGACTGTCAGCCCAAATCCGATTTTGTGCATATCTGGATGGAATCTGATTTGAATAACTGACTGTCCACACAGCGTATTGCAACTGTTCATATCCGATTTGTGTGTCCATAAGCACTCTTTAATTTTTACGGAATGTGCATTGGTTTCTATGGTTATGCCGTTGCGTTGTTATGCCTACGCTATAAACAACGGTAACAACAATACAGTTTGCAATACAGATGTTGTCTTACGACATGACAACATGTTGCTGTCGCAGCTGCGCTGTATTATTATATTTCGTCTTGTGAGGCAGCGGCAGAAACGCAGGAAGCTGGAATGTGTAGCTTTATTTCGTGCTGCTGTCTCTGCTACATTCAAAACTCAAAGAGGTGCATAAACGAGCAGTATATTGTGTTTTTCCACTTGACTTGCACTTCGCAATGACACAAGCTTGTTTCTGGCATGGTTTCTGCAAAAAAACATCTGACGTGTTTACGTTTTACGTGGCGTGAGGGTGTGAAAAAGCTACGCTAAATCCGATCTGACCGGTCAGACTGAAACGGATTTCCAGGAATGCGATTTGAATAGGATTACAAACCACATATGAATGTAGCTCGAAACGGATTTGCAAAAATTGGATTTCATGTAGTTCGTTGCCGTTTAGACTATCTAAATATGATCGGATTTACACAAAAATCGGATTTGGGCTGACTGTCTGAACGAGGCTTTGGATAAATAGGTTACAGAATATCTGTTCTCTTATTTTCTTGTCACATTTACTGAATTCTAGGAGCGATCTTTTTCTCTGAAGAAAGCAACAACCCCTCGCCGAACACCAGCGAAACCACTGAAGGACGCTCCAGACTCCAGTGCAGCACCGACAGATGTAGACACTCACACACCAAAGCCAGCTCACACGTGTCCAGACCCCAGCGCTCCTCCTGTACAGACGGCAAGCAAAGAGTTTGAGGACGAGCCATCAGATCCCTTTCCATCCATAACCCCCTCCAAATCCTGGTCTCCAGCTGTGGGCTCTGCACACAAGAGCTTGGAGAGGGTCCAGTTTCTGAAGCAGTCCATGACCAAGAGGTTTTCCTCTGTGGACAGCGACTGGCTTGCACGCTGCCAGGTTTTCGATGAGGTGGAAGAACCTCAGAAACCTGTTGCTGGGAATTCAGAGCTGTCACAAATCGAAAACAGTGTCTTACGACCTACTGTTAAAAGCGAAACTGTGTCAAATGAGGGTCAGACATCTCCTAAGGCTTCACTGGAGAAGAAGAAATCTTCCTTGTCAGAGGATGGTGCACAGAAAGGTCCAGTAACATCTTTAGTAAGGAACAATGTGGTGGATGCAGAATTGGGCTCCCCGGGGCCTGATGGTGAACAGGTATATCAAAAAAACACTGCGGCTCTCATGAGAGATGACGAGGCCTGTTCAGAGGAGCCTAAATCTGCTTCAAACGCTAAGAAACGCAAACCCAGGGCTAGAAAAGATCAAGACTCAGGTGACAGAGCACAGGCCGAATATGGCAAAAAAAACAAAGGTCGAAAAAGACAGAGAGAGGGTGATGATGATGACGTGGACGAATCTGAGGAGCAGGAAGGTGGAGTGAAAAAGAGAAGGAGAACTAAAAAAGGAGAGGCAGCTGGAGAGGATCAGCCCAAAAAAGGAGGAAAGAGGAAAGGTAAACTCGAGGAGGAGGAGGATGATACTGCCAGTTCAGAGAAAAAAACAACCCAGAAACGAGCAATTCCTCAGGAGAATTTGCTGGGAGAAGTGGATGAGGAGGAGGCCAGAGCCGCTGCATATACAATGAAGAACACAGTCAGGGTCAAGTGGGTACCATAAACATCAGTTATTGTCACATTTTGTTCAGTGTTTAACTGATTTATTGTCCTCATCCTGAACCAGGCCAACCAAAAACACAGATGGGAACTTTGTGAAAATCAATTTAAAGAAGAAGTCCCATGTCAAGGGATTTGCTTTGAGAGGAGCTGTGCTAAGGAAACAGGTTGGTTGATAAGACCAAAATCAACTTCTTTTAAGGAATATTTCATCCAGAAATTATAATCGTTATAGTTTGCTCAACATTTTTGTTGCTGTAATCCGATATAAATTTCTACTGTGAAATACACATACAGATGTTTCAAAGAAATTTGGACACAATGACACAATTTATGACACAAAAATGACACATTTTACAACATGACAGTATATAGTGACCACGACTATCGAGCTCTATAAACAAACAAAAAACCAGCATAAAAATATTCCAGATGATTTGTATATTATATATTACAAGGCCCAGAGTAGATTAAATTTAAGCAGTGATTCACTGGAAATGTTTTCCCTCCATCAGAGCTCTAAAACCTTTGTTGTTTGGTATTGTTGATCTCAGGTTTCATGCATTGTAAATCTTATGCAGTTTTTTGAGAATGGATTACGAATTTCTGTCATTTCCAATCTGAAGTATGATCCATGTGATTTGCATAAATCCAGAGGAAACACATCAGCCATCTAATTTATTTTGTGAATTGTTTATATCTCTGTTGTCATCAAAAAAGAAACTTTAAAGTCCGCAGTGGTTTTGCGCCAAAATAAAAGCCCTAAAATATTGAAAGCAAATAAATCAAGACATCTGCAAATATTATTAGGCTGTTGTCATTTTACTGTTGTTCTGTAAAATACTGGTGGTAGTGTTATTATTATTATATTTTTATTTTATTTTTTAGAGTAATATTTTAATACTACAATAGTATTAATAGTAATTTTTATTGATTTAATTTCTATAATTTAAATAATATTATTTAGATTTAAAAAAAAATACAATTATAAATACTGAAACTAGGTTTATAAAATGTTTTTCATTGGGTAATTCATTAATGTGGCTTTCTCAATGTTTTATCATTCTAGATGTACATGCAGAAGTTCCAGCTGAAAGGCGAGCGGTTTGGGGGCGGAATCGGGAGGGGCAGGGGGCGGTTCGGTGGCTTCAATCATCAAGGCGACACCTGCTACAAGTGCGGCGGGACGGGTCACTGGGCACGAGACTGTCGAGGAAGAGGTGAGAGGCTGCGCAGGTCACATGACTCTGCTCTAATGAATTTGTGGTTATATTATTGATAAATCTGGATTTGTGTTTCAGCTCCTGTTGTGAGTTCTGCAGAACAGCAGGAAACCCAAGTAGAGGAGGAGGAGTTTGAGCTGCCCACTCTGGAGGAAGTTGCTCGGGCGACAGGAACTCTGCGGTCGGAGCCTATTGGTGAGTCTGCATGGGGCACATGTTTAATCACAGCGATTAGTCACTTGTTGCAAAACACCCTAGCAACCCATCTGTTTTTATTAAAAAATTGTTTTAATTTCATTTTAATTTTAGTTTACGTTTTAGTCATTGTGTGTTTTTGTCATTTTTATTAGTTTTTTTTGTTTGTTTTTGTTTTCTTGCCTTGAAAACTAGCTGAAATAAAATAACGTTTAAGAATGTTTTACATTTTATTTTATTTATTATAATTTATAATATCCATATCACCCACAATAGCAAAGGTAAATGTTTTGTGTTCTTACTTCAGTGGCCCCTCCCTCTGTGGGCGGAGACTCCTCTGAGAAGGAGGATCAGGGGGCGGAGATACTGCTCAATATCATCAGACCAGATTATGAGCGGCCCACCCCTCCTCCACCTATGGAGCCCCTCTACAGACCAAAGGATGATGGGAAAGTTCAAGGTATGTCACATTAATGTGCTGTAAGAGCTTAATTCTGTGCAAAAGTCTTTTTATTCTCTGTCTTTCCTTTGATTTTCCACAGATGTCCCGGCAGAGGTGTACGAAGCACTTCGAGACTTTGGTTACAAGTCCTTCAGGCCTGGTCAGGAGACGGCCATCATGAGGATCCTTTCAGGTGGGAGGAAGTTATTAGAAGCTTGAGGCATTACTACATTTCTGTATTTCAACACATCCATATTGCAGTGCAGTATGAATCATATGATTGATGCTAAATACAAATTACACACCAAATGATGAATAAAACGGCAATAATAACCACAATTGAAGGGATTCCTGTGTGTTTTACTGTTTAGACCTGAAAATAGATGTTATTGTCTAATATTTGTTCAGTCTGAAATAAATTTCCTAAAACCCATTTTAATATATTTTTAACCCACATATGAGTGAGTTATGCTGTTCAGACAAGCAAAAAGCTAAATGAATTTGAGTTGCATGTGAAGTGTTAAGTGGGTTCTCTGATCTGTTGGTGGTTTTGTTTTCATTCAGGTCTGTCCACATTAGTGGTTTTGTCCACTGGTATGGGCAAATCTCTGTGCTACCAGCTTCCTGCGTACCTGTACGCCCAGAGGTCAAAGTGCATCACGCTGGTGGTGTCTCCTCTGGTGTCTCTGATGGATGATCAGGTACGTTTGATTTTGTAGTGGATAAAAAAAAAATACTGTTTATAATGCAGGGAATTCTCACTCAGGTTTGCTACATTGTGTAGGTGAGAATTCATGAGCATGTAGCTTAAAACATCTCCTGGGAGGGAGAACAACCATTTAATGTGTTTGTTTCATTTTTACATTGTTTGTGAAGCTCTCAGGACTCCCAACGAAGCTGAAAGCCGCCTGCATCCACTCCAACATGTCTCGGAAACAGAGAGAAGCGGCTATTGAGAAGGTAAAGACTATAAAATAATTCACAAATGATGTGTAGCATGTCTTGTAATACAGGTATAAAGGCTATAGTTTTTTTTTCATCTTAGTTTTTCCTAACCACTGTTATTTTAGTATCATTAATACTATATTATAGTATTTATTAGCAATTTTTTTTTGTTATATTTTTCATTTTAATTTGTCATTTTTGTCTTTTGTTTTCTTTCTTTTTTTATGATTTTTGTTTAGTTTTTATAAATTTCATTTATATTTAGTCATTTTAGGTCAACTTCAATGTTTTATTTCAAGGCAACAATTCTAATTTTAACCAAAATGACTGTTTATTGTTTTGTTTTTTTTAATGTATTTTCATTTTTTATGGTAGTTTGTTATAGTAATTTTGTGATGCACGTTTTTATTTTTATAAATATACATGTTTTTTAGCTTCAATTTATTTTTGTTTTAGTATTGAATTTTAGTACTTCAACTTATTTTATTTAAGGTAGTTACCAAGGCAGCATTTCTAATTTTCATTTTTAAATACATTTTTTATATATTTTTTATTTTTAGTTAACAACAAGACTGTGCTTAACCAGACCAGTAACAGCATCAAAATATTTCGATTTGTGAATCAAACATGTAAACGCATTTTGTTTTTCACAGATTGATTCATCTCTGCTAGTTAGAACAAGTGAGACTCATCATGTTTTAAATGAATCTGTGAGCATGTGTGACTTAGTTTGATGTATTTTATTGTGTGTATAGGTGAAGGCCGGTCAGGTGCATGTCCTGTTGTTGTCTCCTGAAGCTCTGGTTGGCGGAGGTCACTCGGGGGCAGGATGCCTCCCTCCTGCAGACCAGCTCCCTCCTGTGGCCTTCGCCTGTATCGACGAGGCTCACTGTGTGTCTGAATGGTCACACAACTTCCGGCCCTGTTACCTGAGACTGTGCAAGGTTTGTCTCTCAAATGAATCATATTTTTCTTCATTTGATCATTTCAGAATGAATGTATGTTTGTGTTGTGTAGGTGCTCAGGGATCGGTTGGGTGTGCGCTGTCTGTTGGGTCTCACTGCCACGGCCACTCTGTCCACAGCGCTGGACATCGGCCGACATCTGGACATCAGCGATCAAGACGGAATCGCCGTCCGTTCTGCTGCTGTCCCTCACAACCTCCAGTTGTCCGTGTCCATGGACAGAGACAAAGAGCAGGTGCGTTTAGAAAGTCTTGTTTTCATGTAAGATGTCAAATGCAACTAAACAACATTAAAATAGAGAAATTCATTTCAGAGAAATGAAACACAATGTGACTGTTTCACTGCTTGAATAGCTAAATATATATATCAGTTTTTTAAAACATTTCTTTAGATTTTTTTTTTTAGATTGTTTTAATGATTTTGTTACTCACGCTTTTCTGCTCCAAAAATATTGGCCAAATCACAAATTGTCATCATTCTCTTGAACCTCAGTCTAACCTCTGAATACATGAAACAATTAAAATTTTAGAGAGATGCCATGCTTAAAAATCTTTTTCATGAGGTTATTTTGGACTTGGCACGAACAAGCTGTTACTAGGGATGGGTGATATGGGCTTAAAAAAATATCACAATATTTCTGGTATTTATTGCGATAACGATATCAATGACGATAATTTAGGGAATCTTGTTTCTTTAGAGAAAAGTATTATCTTTCCTATTTTTACCCAAAATAGGGTGTTGTGAGCATTACTGAGTACTATGACGGTTTAATTCATACTGGAAACTCCACATATGCATCGCAGAAGTAATACTAACGAATACTAATGTCAACAACTAGACGTTATCATTATTATCGCGGGAAGACTAATTCTTATTGTGGGGGGATTTTTTTACCGGTATATCGCAAACGATAAGATATCGCCCATTCCTAGCTGTTACACTTGTCTCAAATATCTTAATGTGTTCTCCTACAGGCTCTGGTGTCTTTGCTGAAGGGCGAACGCTTTGGCGCTCTAGAGTCGGTTATCATCTACTGTACCAGGCGAGAGGAGACGTCCCGTATCGCTGCACTGCTGCGCACCTGCCTGCAGGGGGTGATGTTGAGAGAGTCCTCCAAACCAGCACCAGAGGATGAGGACGACAATCCTGTAGGGAAGAAGAAGAAAGCTCTTGGTAAATACATCACTGTCATACAAAACTCTTCTGCTCCTTCGCTTTGTTTGGAGGTATTTATTTCATTCTTCCACGTCAACTCAGCCAGGAAAAAGATCCGTAAGCCTCTGAAGTGGATTGCAGAGGCGTACCACGCCGGGATGTCTGCTTCAGAGAGGCGGCGAGTGCAGAATAACTTCATGTGCGGGGAGCTGCGTGTGGTGGTGGCCACCGTGGCCTTCGGTATGGGGTTGGACAAGTCAGACGTGCGTGGGATCATCCATTACAACATGCCCAAAAGTTTCGAGAGCTATGTGCAGGAGATTGGCCGAGCAGGACGTGATGGACACCCAGCACACTGCCACCTGTTTCTAGACCCAGAGGTCTGTTCTTGTGTAGTACTTTGTTATTTGTAGTTTTATATTAGTGGCAATATTTTAATATTAGTAATATATTTTATACTTTATACTATATATTGTATACTATTACAGTATTTATTAATTTTTACTTTAGTAAAAATAAGTTTCAGTAATTTAGTATTGTGCTTTTGTCATTTTTATTAGGTTTTGTAAATATTACTGTTTAGGTTTAATTTATTTCTATTCCAGTTTAGTACTTCAACTTAAGCTTTAATTACATTTAAATACATTTAAGATTTTTTTTCTTCTAATATTTATATTGTATTTAATTTCAAATTTATTTCAATTAACAATTTTTTTTTTATATATTTATTTTTAATAATAACAAAACTGCAGAGGATGTAGGATTGGTAATTTTATGATGTGTTTTTGTCATTTTTTTAAATGTTACAATTTAGGTTTAATTATTAAAAAAAAAAAAAACAAGCTAATCAAGGTCTGAACAGTTACTAGGAAGCTACAGGCAGGTGAGTTTTAATTAGGGTTGGAGCTGAACGCTGCAGGACTGCGGCTCTCCAGGACTGGAGTTCACCACCCCTGGTATAGATTACTATACTATCATAATATTTATTAATATTTTTAATAATTTTTTTAAATCAGGGTTATCCTAGTTAACTAAAACTGGAACTAAAGTCAAAACCATTGCAAAAAATTGTTTACTTGGAATAAAATAAACAAAAATCTCAGTTTAACGTAAAAACTAAAATAAAATATAAAAAAAACTGCATATGTATAAAAGAAACAAACTCCTGAAAATGACAAAAATGTACAACACAATTACTAGAACTAAAATGAAAATGGAAAATAAAAACAGATTCTAAATATTAATAACTATAACAGTATCTCAGAGATAACTAATATAACACTGATTTTAGTTTTAGTTGATTTTTTAGATGTTTAATTAGTTCTTAGACATTTTTATTTCCGTTTTTGAATAATTGTAGAATTTTAGCTTAAATTAAATCAAATTTTAAAAAGCTAAATTTGTCTTTTATTTTATTTTATTTCAGTCAACCTGATTTTTAAATGTAATATTTTTAGTTTTAGTTCATGATAAGTCTGGCTTGAGCTATAGCTATCTTCTCAGATTAAGTTCTATGTTTTACGCTAAATCTAAATCCTCTGTGTTTTAGGTCTGGAGACCCTGTTGTGTTACCTGGAGCTTCATCCTCAGCAGTGGGTGGAGCTTCTTCATCCGACGCTCTCCATCTGTAAGCTGCAGTTTTACGGCGGTCCGCAACAACTCCGCAAAATCACCAAACTGTACGTTACTCTTTCACAGTGTGACCAAGTAGCTTCCGATGCTTCTAGAAGCTCATCAGTGCTGATTGTGTCATTTTGCATGTCGTCAGGTGTCCTCCAGTCGCTGTGGCTCTGGCGCGCAAACGCATGGCAGGGGAGCGCGTGGAGTCATGTGACACTCTGGAGTTTGACGTGGTGGAGCTGGCGGACACTATGGGCTGGCAGCTTCCTCTGGTGAAGAGAGGAGTGAGACAGCTGCAGTGGGGTTCAGACACAGGTGAGAGGAGACCATGTGATTCACAGATCATCTGATGCATGGTACAAACCAAAAGGACCAAACATACTTAAAACGACTAGCTTTATTCTGATTGGATCGGACCTCTAAAATTAAAACAATGTACCTCCCCTAGTTGTCATGTAAAACAAAATGAGATTGGTCACTTCACATGACAGTCAAATGGTTTCTTCCTCTCTAAGTGTGTGTTTTTTTGGGGGCCAAAATTGATCCCAGTAATTTCATTGGAAGATTAATTAAAATTCATAAGAAAGATAGATGACCTAACTACAAACTAGATAAAACTGTTCTGTTTTATTATATACTGTTGTTATATGTTGTGCTTTATTTTATTCCATTCAGGGCTGTCAGTCAAGTAAAATTTTGGTTACACTTTGAGGTGTCCCTGTTACAGTGTAATTATACATTTAAGTACAGAGTAATATTAATTAAGCACATGTGCTTACTATATGGTTAGGATTAGGGTTTGGCTTAGGGTTACTTGCATGTAATTATGCATAATTTATTGTTATTATAATAGGAAGTACAAGTAACGTGTAACAAGCACACTAAAATAAAGTGTTACTAAAATTGGTGCAGCGATTAATTAATCGAACTAATCACTAAATAAATTTGGCTGTGAAAATACCCACAAAAGATTATTTAAAGCTATTATTGTGTTGAAAGAGAAAGTATCAAGTAGACATTACAAATAGTACCCTTAGAAAGAAATATTTTATTTGATTCAACAAAACATTTGTTAGACACAAACCTTTAGGCTACAACGGCCTAACATAAACTATGGAACATAAAAGAAGATAATTTGAGAAACATCGCAGCATTTTTTGTTCATGCAATGAAAGTCACTGGTAACCAAAACCTCTTTTATGTTGCGCAAAGAAAGTACGTCATTCAGGTTTGAAATTAAATTAGGGTGAGGAAATGATGGCAGATTTTTTTTTAAATTTAATTTAATTTCTTGTTTTGATGAACTATCCCTTTATTTATTTGTATTTATTTTTACTCTAAAGAAGAAACGAAAACTGCCAGCAGGTGGCGGTAAATGTCTTTATGAGTCATTCATTCATTAGATTCGGCCAAACGGCTGATTCATTCAGGAATGAAGTAAACGGCTCTCTTTATGAATGGGCTACTGAATCATTGGTTCACACGATTCGTTCAAAATGCAGATTCGTTCAGAAACTTAACACGGCTATGTTGCTCACAGATGCACAACAGTTCTGCTGTGGCTTTATAGGTGATATTTTCTTTAGCAAAATGGAGCAAAAATGCACAATATTGTGTTTAAAATAAAATAACATTAACTTCTTATTTACTGAACTGTTGTATAAAATCACATTTGAACTTGTGCTATTCGGACATAAACGGTGTGATATTGCTCTCGCTGCTCATGTTATATTGCTCATATCATGTGACATAAATATATTAGACGAACAAAATCGTACAGGGGCATTTGTTTACCCCACTATCTTGAATTTTAGGGCATAACTGCATTTATGGAGTTGTTACCCAGCATCATATTTGTCAAGTCAACTGTATGAAATGTAAGATGATGTACAAGTCTGGGGGCGGGGCCAGTATGTTAACGGTGTTGAAATATTTGAATGATGTTAGTATTTCATAACTAATTAGTTAACGCACTAAACTGACAGCCCTAATTAAAATCTCGTCAGGTTCATATGGAGGCACAGGACGGAGTGGTGTCCATGTGGAGTTCTCAGCGCTGTCCTTCTATTTCCGCTCATATGGTGACCTGACGGCGGACGAGCTGGACGCGGTTTGTGCATTTCTGCACGGCAGAGTGATGGCACAGGAGAGGACTCAGCTGTACCAGCTCAAAACCTGCTTCAAAGCCTTCCGCAGGTCTCACCACACACTCACCATGACTGAGCTCTTCCAACCATTTATGTCCTTTACTGTCTGAGTGTGTGTGTTGTGTTTGTGTGCAGCGTTGCGTACCGTAACTGCAGTCTGTGTATGGATGATCTGGAGGAAAGCAGGAGCCAGGCTCTCAAAGAGCTGCTGCGCCATTATTTCGACAAGAGGAGAAACCTGGACCTGAGCAAACACTATCAGGAGGAAGAGGAGGAGGACGAGGAGGAAGAGCTCAACAGATGCAAGGTGTGACTCTTTCACAGTTTCGTTTATGACGTGAACTCTCATTTCTGTCTCTGAATCCTGTTGTTGTACTGTGTCCTTAGATGAGGGACTGGGAGGCTCAGATCTGTGCGGACATCAGAGGCTTCCTGTCCAATCGCAGCGATGAGAAGTTCTCCGGTCGAGCCGTGGCCAGAATCTTCCATGGCATCGGTTTGTTTCTAGTGACATTTCGCTCCACCTGTTGTCTTTTGTTTTTAATTTGGGGGTATTTCAATATGCGTTTCTGTGCCCCCCCAGGAAGTCCGTGTTATCCAGCGCAGACGTACGGACGTGACCGAAGATACTGGAGGAAATATATTCAGTTTGATTTCAATGAGATCATTCGTTTAGCTACACAGGAGATCATTAGAACGAGGTAACATGATCTCACGATGCTAGAGTCTGAATTTATTTATTTGTGCTGTTTGTCACTCTTTTAAATGTTCACATGTTGTGTTTTATAACTTTATACACAATAAAGACTGTTTTCCAGAGTTGTTTCTGCTGAATCAGGGTGATTTGGTGAACACAGCAGTTGTATTTGCTCGGTCTGTCCTGTAGTGGGCACTATTGTGCTGTTTTTTTATTTGTCAGATCCAGATACATTTTAGAGTCAATTTATACATTTATAGCCTACTACATGTATACTAAACAGTCCCAAACAACAACATATATTAACTTTTATAATGATTTGTATAATACAATTTAATCACAGACGCACATCTACCTTGATTAGATGCTTATGTTTTGTGTGGTATCTCCTACTGTAATTACAGGCGGCACATATGAATAATTAAAAAAAAAACCTTAAGTGTGCAGGAATTTCTTAATTTATATTTTATTACTATTTTTTCTGTTTGTATGACTTGTTGACAAGCGCAAATCATTTAGAAACAAATAAAAAAATATTTATTTTAATATAGAACCATAATATATATTTATTTTTATAT